TACTAGGACTACTCTAAACTTCCTCCTCCCTCCCCCTCCCTTCCCCTTACTACTGTACCACTTCTCCTTCGCTACCCCGTACTAGAACTACGAGAGTACTGACGATGTTCCACTGATACGCCCGAAACGCCGATACACCGCGTAGCGCCATCTGGCGGTGGCGTTTGCAAGTTAGTTTCCGACGCTAAACCTAATGTTTACCTATTGGACAAACTAATACGCGTTTGGCTATAAGGTAATGTACTTATTAACTACACAAGGTGCCAGTTACTGTAGCATTCGTTAAAATTGCATAATCGATGGTCGAATTATGCCTTTAACTAGAAAACAAAGGGATAAACGTCGCCTCTAATTTTCTAAATGTTAGTTTCACGAATCGCCAGAATTTTCCTTACATATTCTAATGCTGGTTTTAATATTCCATGGCTGTCCCTTTTCCAGTTATCTATTTGTTGTCCCTCCTTATATATTTCATAACTATCATATATAAATGTTCCATATCTTCTTTCATATCCTTATTACATCTATTACACTTATCATTGCTAAAATTATTTTTAAAGTAGGCCTATCCTTTTAGATCAATCATGCATGTTTTGCATTTAAATGCAAAACACGAATCGCTAAATGATAATTCTTTCATATATTCCTTCAATCCGTATGTTTCATGTTTCACAATATATTGTCTAGTAGGGCTCTAGGCGGTACGAGTGGTTCACATGTCGGACGCTAGATGGCGCGTACTGTGTGGACCAGAATCACCAGATCATCGCCACTGCACCGGCATCTTCAACAAAGTTGTAGTTTCACTTCACTTCATAGTTAGCGATTGAACTAAACATACATAGGATTGCGAAGGGCCATTAATTATAAAGCCTCCGACCAACACCCCACGTTGGGCGTTTACTTACTCTTAAACAGAGCTGTTATTGTTCATTTGTTGCTTATATTATCGCTCGCCGCTGAGCCTGACGCACCTTTATCCAAAAATGGCGACGAAGGTAAGATTTAGTTTAAGAATAAGATATAATTTAGACGTCGAATATCATGTAAACTAAAGAATATAGAAGGAGGGTAAATACTCCTATTGCCTGCGGCAAGTTCAACTGTACGCGGGCTATCACAGGCACTTGGAACGTCTCAATAAAAATAAAAAATGTAAATAAACACGAAATGTATTTACTACCAAAGTTGTTTCTCTACTCTATTTCGCCTATTTTTGCTGATAATTAATACCCGTAGATACCGGTCAAATGCTCATCTGCAACACACAAGTACACCGCACGCCCGCCCTTGGCCACAAGTTCCCATCTCGCTTAACACTACGTGGCGAGAGGGTCACAAACCGCCGCATTAGAATTTTGTTCGGCAGTACGTGCGCTGCTATTTAACGTTAAATTATCTAACTTTTTATGATTCTTACAGCTTCTCTGTACTTCCACTCCTCGATTTATTATATGTGCGCTATCACTGAGCATGTACTTACGTGTCAGCAAGTAATTGTTTATGAATTGATGAGATAAAACTCAAAAAACGCCGCCATTTTCCCCATAGATATCCCATAATACGTAGCGAAAGTTCGTGAATTTTCGCGTACACGAAGAGACATAAGAGCGTTCTACAAAGTTCAAATAGTATAGCTGTCCGTAATTCTTATTTTAACGTGTATTTCGAGGTAAATAGTAATTAAGAAGTGTAGCGATAGTTGCAACATGTAACAGGTGAGGTCAAATGTGGTAATACATTGTTTTATTTACGAAATTTTACGAAATTCGGAGTTTGTTTTCAAGCTACCAGGCATTTCATATGGAAGGGTGTCAGGCTCCTCCGCCGTGTAACAGTCGGAGAGCCTGGTCGGTTTAGCCCGCCCTGTGCACAAACAACATGAATAAGAGAGCCTTTTACTTTTTTTTTTAGGCCGTGGCCACGCGGCCGGTTCCGGATGAGGAGCCGCTAGGCTACGCGTCCGGACATCCATCTCACACAGTGATCTTGCGACACGTACACTCATGATTGCGCAACGGGACGCTCTGCTGATTGCCGAGTGTCTGCGTGAGAGAGAGAGAGAGAGAGAGAGGGAATGTGTATGTGTGTGTGTATGCGTGAGAGAGAGAGAGCTAGAGGTGTGTGTGTGTGTGTGTGCACGCGTGTGTGTGTGTGTGAGAGAGAGAGCTAGAGGTGTGTGTGAGAGAGAGAGAGAGAGAGCTAGAGGTGTGTGTAAGAGAGAGAGAGAGAGAGAGAGCTGTGCGCCTGTGTGTGTGAAAGAGAGCGAGAGAGGACGGATGAAAGAATAGATGGCAGCAGTGCATATATTGTATATTTTCGGCAATCGGCAGAGCGTCCCGTTGCGCAATCATGCGTGTACGCGAATCGCGCGATCACTGTGTGAGTGGATGTCCGGATGCGTATCCTGGAGGCTACGCGACCGGTTCCGGATGCGTAGCCACTGCGTTTTTTTATTGAGACGTTCCAAGTGCCTGTGCGGGCTATAGTACTAGAGCTGGCGCCAGCTATCAATATCATAACATTAGTCCTATACATAAACATTAGTCCGAGTTTCCTCTGACCAATCAATGCCCACACTGACGATTTTGGTGGATTTGGTGTGGGTTAGAAAAATGAGAGAATGTTTGAATTTAGAATTGAGAGTTAACTGAATTAGAAATGTTGATATATGCTATTATTTTCAGACATATGAGTTTGACTTTGCGGCCACGTGTGAGGGGTGTACAAATGCAGCCAAAAGAGTTCTTGGTAAAATCAATGGTGAGTGAGTGTTCTCAGATTAAAAAATATGAAGACAATGTGATCTAGGTGGTTAAATTATTCAAATGATCTTTCATTTACTGGGAAAACTCTAAATACCCACTTGTTTACATTACCCTCCTGCATAGCTTATATTAGAGTTGTAATGCAAGCTGTTACCCTATGTCTATGTCTATGGCTATGTCACGTGATATAATTAAAGTCGGTCTTGGCTAGAACTGATCGAGATCCGTGTTTACGGAGTGAAACTACTTCCTTACTTGCGTTAATTGTCCCCCGAAGTGATTTGTCTACTACGAGAGCATTTCTGTCAAAACTTTACTCAAAATTTGCATATGACATGTGAAAGTGACAAAATTTCCCTTCACTATAGAGTCAATCTATTGCTAGAGCATGTAGGATCAAACAATTGCACAGCATGTCAAGTTATTGAGCACGTGAATAAAGTCGCTGAAATGTATATCATGAGGGACAACGCTGCTCATGGGCATACATGTAACTTGTGCTAAATCCTTTCCACTGCCTTTTCATTCTAGTAACTGATGTCGAAGCTGATATTCCTAAGCAGAAGCTGTGGGTGACAACAGACTTGCCAATGGGTCAGATCCTCGAAACCATCAAGAAAACGGGAAAGGCTACTTCGTTTGTCGGTGAAAAGAGTGCCTAAGCATGTGCCTGCTGGTAAGGGCTTACATTTTAAGAGATGTCTACAGGATGATATTGTGAACATATACATACATACATACTACATTAATACATTTTTCTCTATGTACACATCTAAATTCTATAGATAGGTTTATGGTAGATATGCTATAAAATTCTAAGCATTGTCTATGATGAATGTGCTGTATCCATACATTGATATATATCTAGTAGCGCTCATAGGGTCTATGTCCCCCAGGGTACTGCCGGAACGTAACCTGGGTACGGTTCGGTATACCGGAACGTACTCTGGTAACTATCTGATAGGGTTAGGGAGTAGGCGTAGGCGACCTAGACTCGTTAGTGGAGTAGGCGAGGTACGGTCCGGCATATTAGATAGTACCAGGGTACGTTCCGGCAGTACCCTGGGGGACATAGACCCTCTCAGCTATAGTAGCTTGTAAAAACTAGCTTTCCACATGTGTCAATTGTTGGACATTTGTACCAGCAGAATAGTTTCCCCATATCCTGATCTTCAAGCAACTGCAAACCAAAATCTCATCTATAGTTTCCATGTTTAGTTATTTCTCGGTTATCTGTAATTTATAATTTCGTAATGAAGAGTTATTTTAAACAAAAATCGTCTTTTCTAATTTCAGCGCCAATTAAAGGAGGAACCAGCCAGAAAAAATAACTCTAGTAAGAATCTGAACAACGAAGACAACAATGAGGCGAACACTATAATACGCCATCGGATCTTCAGAATTAAAAGATAATTGACAAGCTGCTCAACATACACGGCGTGCCGCACCTTGTAGACTTGCGCACGATGGGGACAGAGAGTGCGTGGTCGCCGATCGCGACCGTCTACGACCCGCTGCGTGCCGGCAGCATCGACGGCACGGACGAGCTCGCCCACGACCGCGCCGTCCAGAGGGCGCTTTCGGTCAAATACGTCGCGCCGCGTCACGCGCCCAGCGAGCCACGCCGCACCGTCTTCGTTGGCCGGCTGAGCGGCATCACTGACGAGGGGGCGCTGCTCGACGCGTTCTCGCACCACGGCGCCGTCGCGCGCTGCCACCTGGTGAGGGACCTCGTGACGGGCGCGTCACGGCGCTACGCGTTCGTCGAGTTTGAGCGAGAGCGCGACGCGGAGCGCGCGACGCGCGACGCAAACAAGACGATCATCGACGACGCCGAGCTCCTCGTCACGATGGAGTGCGAGAGGGCGCTACCGGGCTGGGTTCCGCGCCGGCTCGGCGGAGGTTTCGGCGGCCGAAAGGAGTCGGGGCAGCTGCGGTTCGGCGGCGCCGATCGGCCGTTCAAGAAGCCGATACAGATGCTGCGGCAGCGTCTGGAGGACGGCTCGACGCGGCACGGCCGTGGTTCCGATCACAGGGGTGCGAATAGGGAGTCGGGTGTGCGGGGCGGGTCTGGGGAGGGGATGCAGGAGAGGTACGGACGCAATGGCGACATGCACAGGAGATACGGACGAGAGAGAAGCGCACACGATGTAGAGCGGTCGCCACGGGAGAGGCACAGGGATAGAGATCACTTTACAAGTAATAGTCACTCGTATAAGTAGCAGCCAGATGTCTTGAGAAGAAGGAAACAAATTGCAGGCATCAGATTGATAGACGTGTATAGTGAGGGGAAGGGAGATTCACTAGTGCATTCATTATCCCTAATTAATTGGGTCAGATTCGACACTTATTATATAGATCATAGCATTGAAGTGTGAAAGAATTCAAATGCAGCTTGCTTTGGTCTGCGATTGAATCGCTTGCATTGCACTAGTCCTGTGGGCTGTATCGTAATTGCACGTAGCAGACAGGTATAGTTTAATTATTAGAGTATTTATTTGATTTGGAAATGCTTGCTCGTGAATTTGTGAGTCGTTGTCAACATTTGAGGAGAGGTTATCATGGTTGACATAATTATATATTACACATGTATGTGAAAATCTCTTGTCTTAGAAAAGTTTTTATCTTGGTGAAAGATTCTACAAACCACAGCAAAACTGGTTATGTGCCTTAGAGTGATTTATCATGACAAACTGACAATATATAGGTAATTTATTTCCACACGAAATGCGGCCGGTAACGTACAATGCTTCACACCAGTATTATACATAGTACCAGTATATAACATAACTGTTTAACAGGATTCCGATTGAATCGCTTGCATTGCACTAGTCCTGTGGGCTGTATCTATGTACTGCTAATTATGTTCTACATAATTATAGCGGAGCTTTGTCGAGGCCAGAATGCTAGAACGCTAAAATGCTAGAACCATTTGACAATGCGCACTTTGGAAAATAACCATTATTTTGTCCATAATAATAAAGGATAATATAATATATTATATATATATCATATAAGGAGAACGAAATGCCCCCAGAACGCAATGTATTCGTAAGCAGTGGTAAAAAAAACAAGTAATGATATCCGAGGTTGTGCAAGAGTCGGTGTTTAGTTTTTCTTCTTTTTATAAAACGAAAACATAATACACATACGATTTGAACAAAACACGAATTGGGAGTTTGGGTGTGTGCGTAGCGTGTTGGATTTCTAGTCGGCAGTCCTGGGTTCAAATTAATTAATCTTGTCAATTACCATAGTAAAATATTTTCTAACTGCTGTTAAGCTAAATATAACACATTTCCCGTCTAGCGTACTGGGCTTATATTCAATAATCCTGGGTTCAAATCCAGGCAATCAACAAATTCAAATATTTTCAGACTGCCGTTGGAAGAAATGTCAACATACATTGACCTTGCACTTGTCAAGGATCCTCACCTGATAATGTAAATATTTTGAAAGTGGTGAAGGCCATGGCTTGAGCTCAAGGCTATGGCTATGGCCTTGACCTACTAATGTAAAACTTTAAAAACGTAAAAAAGTGGGCCATGGCCTACTTGTGAAAATGTTTAAAAATGAAAAAGTAGGTCAAGGCCATTACCTTGAGCTCAAGGCCATGGCATTGGGCCAGGTCTTGGTCAAGGTCAGTGTTGATATCAACACCGCCAGACAACAAATTCCCAAACTACCAATAATCTACTGCAAACTTCTTAACAGTGTATGTTACAATTTCTTTGATGATTTTTCAGAAAAGTATTGTTGACAGCCTTTGAATAATTAACACCATATATATAAAGAGGAATCTCGGGCGTTTTATTTGGAGTATATTTATATATATATATATATATATATATTTATATATTTATTTGGAGTATATTTATATTTGAACTTCTTCATGTTTCTATAGCATAGGCCTACTCTCTTTGACCTATTATTGCCGAGTTTCCTGTAAATTCCGTCGAAATCCTACGGCTAACGTACGCTGCCGGCTGCCATTGCTCTCGCGGCGCGACTGTTGCACGCTTACACTAATATATATATATGCAAGAGTAGATAATAACACACTGTGTTATTATC